AAATACGGGGTTTATTAGCTATACTCTCACCTGGGAAAACTATTTCTTTTTGAAAGAGCACCTTAAACTGCTTACAGCAGCAGGATTAAGGTGTGGTGAATTCAAACAGAAGGAATAGTCTTACATATTTTTTTTTCCCTTCAGTACCTGTAATTTCATTCTAGATTATTTGAATCCCACAAGAAACATTATAATGCCTCAGAGATGTATTCTTTGCTGGCTTTTGCAGTTTTCATATGTTAACACTGGATTATCTGCTATTTTGTAAAAAAATTGAATACATTTCCATGCATGTCTGCTCCTCCCCATGCTATTTTTGGTATTTATGAAGCCAGCTACATAAACTTCAGGGGCAAATGACCTTTAAAACCTAGTGAAGATCTGTAACATTTACATCCTATGTATTTCACAAATGGAGAAAAGCTGGTTTCTTCTTCTCCTCCCCTCTCCCTGCTCCCCCTTACCCCCAAATAGATAGGAATTGTCTCTCAAGTCTGTCTCTCTCCAGAAAAATCTGACCTACAAATGGCTTTCTCATAACTCAGCAGAATAGTTTAGTCCTCATATGGATTTATCATTAACCACATAAGCACATGTTGTCCATTTTGCCCAACCTAATCAATGTGCTATAAATAAAATAACTCTAAAAGCAGGTTTCACCATTCTTATCCAAGCTGTTGCAGCAAGTCCTTGTAACTCCCAAACCCACTCACATTAGAAACATTAATCACTTGATTATAATTCAAAGCATCAGCTCTCTACAGCTGAAACTCCCTAGCACTTGACTTTGTCTAGACCTCTAACCTCAACTTATCACTTTCAGGCGTACTCCACATTTTCTTCTCCAATCTGTCACTAATGTTGGAAAGACGTGGGAAGTCGCTTTCAGAAGGTATTTTTAACCTAGGAGTGTCTCAATAAAAAGAGAGCTTAGTATAGAAACTCTGAAACAAAACCTTTCCCACTTAACTTAGAACAGCAACCTGAAAATACCAGAGGGGTATTTCACCAGAACTCATGTAATTTTAAACCAAAGCAACATAAAGAAAAAGGAAGCTCTTATGGAAAAGACACTGTTGAGTGTAATTCCTATCTACCCCACAAATATTTTATACGATCATAGGATTATCTGTAGAGCTTTGTATTTTCCATTTTGAATGAAGGGGGCTGAACCAAGCCATCTATTATTCTGACTTGCCTGCTCATTCATTAAGAGTGTATTTGTACAGTTTCAGTTGTTTCTACTTATTTCAGCTGACAGCATGGAGATCACATTCCATCTTGACCAAAGGTTTTAAAAGCTGATAGAAACAAAAGATTAATCGTAGGATATTATTTTTAAGCCTCATGTGCTTTAGTCTGGAAATAGAAAGACAAAGATAAAACTCCCAGAAGGACAGCCACAGCTAATGAGAGCCTGAGAGGAAATGATCACATATTCTTAGTTCTTCTGATGGATGTCCTTCTAGCCTTATTAATCAGAACTTTGTGATGCTGATAAATCACCAAAGTATGATAACAGATGAAGGTGAGTTTGGATGTAAAATGATCCATGGTGAAGGATTACAATAAAGGAGGAAAAGGAGGGAGAGCCAAATACTGCTTTATAAACTGCATCCTCAGCTTGTGAGGACTTGTAGATAATAAATGTCATTCCTTTTCCACATTATCTAGGAGATTAAGAATGTTTCTTGATGTATAACTGCTGGGAAGCCTCTGTAGCACCTTCTCCAGTTACCAGGAGGTTTACATTACATCAATTGCTTTAATTTTCCATCAATTATGATTTCATTTACAAAGAGGAACTTTAAAGTACCTTTCTTCCTTTAACCTCTTTTTGAGGAAGTAGGCTTCAGAGGCTGGAAAGGAGAATCCATGCATAACACTGATGGTTTTGATGTTGCAAGGTTTGTCAGACCCTGCTTTGAGATTCCTGCAAGTTTTCTGGTATGACCTTATCCTGCTTGAATGATCTTGTGTCACAGAGGTGTCAGCAAGGTCTCCATGCCTCTAATCACTCTAGATGCAGAGTTGTTGGTTTCTATAGTCAGCAAAAACCACCCATCCATCAATCCACATGTGTCACAGTTTGTGGTTTTCAAGGAAAGCATTTAAGCATTTCTCAGAGCACTTAGGAAATAAATAAATGCATTTGAGATGCTATTACTGATGAATCAGTTCCATCCCCTGCTTTCTACCAGCGGTTTTTATGCTGTAGAATACGGCCCTGGTCATCTGAAGCAAACCAAAGCCATGCTTATGTACTGCAAATTCAAAATAAAAAGTTATTAAAATGAGGTAACTTGCCGCTAAGGCAAAATTTGCCTTAAGCCATGAGAGCCAGAGGTATAACAGATACCTAAGAAAGAAAGGACACAAGTGCACTGAATGCCTTTGAGGATGGTCCAAAATGAAAAACAAATTTGTATGCTGCCCTGTAGCTTTCATTTGGTTTGTGTCACAGCACGGGGAGATCTCCAAGCTGATGCCCTACCAAGCTCTGCTAAGTCATGCTGCAGGACAGCACTTGGCAGGGAGATGCACCAGCTTGGTCCAGATGCAGTGAAATTATGCCAGGGACATCCTTTGATATCCCTGAACTGATGGATCCTATCCAGAGTCAGATCAGCTTGGAGGTTCCATGGGTAACCCACGTGTGGAGCCAGCCCATTCTGTATTCTGTATTCTGTATTCTCTAGGAATAGAAACTAGAGATATAGTTCAGTTTCATGGCACTTCTCAGAGTTTCCCTGGCTGGGATGGCAGCTGAGGTATCTCTGACACCACCTGCCCAAACACTCCCAATTCCAGATTGCAGAAGCTCATAGGGAAATAGAAAAACTGTGCAGTCAAAGGGACAGCCTTTGAAGTGATTGGATGTCCCAGAAGAAAATAAGGCAAATTTATCCCTGTAATGCCTGCTTTGTACTACATGAAATAGTGGGGGCAGCATTTCTGCTATCTCTGCTCCTGCCAACATTTCTACATGTTGCTGTTTAATGGGAAGTACTGAAAATACACATGAATGGACACTAAATTATAGAATATCCCTTCAGGCTTTCTAAGCCCTCATGAGCATGAACAGGAGACAAGTACATGTGAACATAAATTCTTAGCTGAGATGTGTCATTTTACCCATATAGAAAGTGGAGTGGAGAAGAGAGAAAAATAGGAACAAAAGACATTGAGAAAAGAAAGGAGAGGGAGGGAAAGACGTATAAATAAGCTTTAGCATCTAAGAAAAACCACGCAGAATACTTGGTGCCCAGTGTTGCAGTCTGAGGTCTGCTGTGTATGGATGCATAAGTCTGTGGCATGGAAATTAGTCAGAATTGCTGTCCTGAGGAACACACTCCACTGGAGCAGTCTAACTCCTCTCTGGGGGGTATGCTGGACTTACAGATCTGGTTCTTGCCATATAATTCTTGCCAGATGTCTGGCCATAGACAGCTGATCATCAGCAGATTATTTTAAAATTGACTTCAGCTGAGACACATTACTTCCACCCCGAGAGCACTTAATTCTTAAAATTCAAAGAATGGAGTGCTTGAAACTAGCAAAGGAATATCTTTAAATTACAGTTTCATCCAGCAAAACCTCTGCTCTTGAAATATGAAGGCAGCTCAAAGAAGTAAAGGGGTATCCAGGCCCTCTTTCCGTTGCTCTTGAATGAAGTATGGCATGGATTTCTAGACCTGGATTTAGGCCTGGAAGCACATCTGGAGGGTGTCTATTCCTTGCATATGTTAGATTTGTGCTACATTAAAGAAATCATTATTTCCACAAACATCATAAAGGATGAACAAAATTCCTGGCCTGAAACTAAATATTGTTGTCTATTATGTCACATTGAGACTGACTCCTGCAGAGATGACACCAAGGCCATGAAATGTCAGCCACAGAGCCTTGGACTGCTGTAGCAATGTTCCTATGAAGGCAATTGATTGAAACTCCACCATCCTGAGCCAAGGCATCAAATCTTCCCAATCCACAATGGTGACACCTATCAAACAGGAGTCACCTCACTGCAATATTCACCCTCTGGAGAGGAGGAACTGCAACACAAGAAAACAAGGAGTCTTTGGCAACAGAGAACAAGACAAAAGAACAAACACAGCCCTTCTCAGCAAGCTGGCCTGACACAGGAGTTGGAGATAAAAACACTCCTGGCTTCCAGTGCCAGTGATATGCTCAGGAAGAAACCTTCTCCTTCCTGGAATCACATTTGTTCAGTTGAATAGCTCAAAAAACCTTTAAAATTGGATGTGGATCTACCTCTGGTCACAGGAGCAGCCCTGTCTCAGAAGCAGCATTGCTGCTAGGGAGCATTACATAAACGAGTTCATGTCAGGTCACAATCAGAAGACAGGCAGAGGCAGAAACACTCCAGCAGGCATTATTTTTCCACAGCACAGCCAAAAGCAGGCAAATTTTTAAGAACAGTAAAATGCCACTGTGTTTGCAGACACTATTTATTAATAGCAAGATGGATTTTCAGTCAGTTTGTACCACAGATACCAACACCATCTTTGCTGCACTAAATTGATGAAAGTGACATAAATTTTCAATGAACAATTATTTAAATCAAGGGTGAAAAACTCACTGGGGGAACCTGCAAATTCTACACATTCTTGATTCCAAAGATCTGTTCCCAAATCCAAATCCATCCAGGATACTTACCCATTAGTGTGTCCTATGTGCTATAGAAGAAAACAGCAGATCAAGGATCCTGTTCTTGAAAATTGAAAAGGTAGGACCAGATAGAGGAGTGATTAAATCCTTCCTCTCTCTTGCATTGCACTGCTGATGCTTTCTCCTTTTTAATAGAGGTTATAGAGCACAGAGAAACAGAGAATCCCATGAAAGTGGGACTGTGACTTAAGGGGCTCAGCAAGGAAAGTGTTTACTCCCTACAGGGCAGGAACAGGGGTTCCCAAACCAGGATGGATCCTGAGTCCTGAACTGGAAATGATCACAGACCTGGATGTGCAAAGGAAAACTGTACTGTAGTCCTGAAAAAGGTTTCAAAAATAGGAAACTTTGTGAATTTTTAATCTTAAGGAGTTTAATTAGATACCTATAATCATGTCATATTAAGTTTTAATTGTTTTCAATGTCTCAGAGTTGCATTTCTACCCTTAGGAAGATGATAAATTTGAGCAAGGGGCTTACCATGTAAGCAAGCTGTCAGAAATGGAAAAAAAACAAACAAACCAAACAAAAAAAACCAAACAGTTATCTCCCTTCTCAGTAACTCCAGCGTGTATCAAAACTGGTCATTGCAAAGAAGCACAGTCATATTCTATGAGAAATAACACAAATCTCTCTATTTATAACAGAGCTCTTCTTGGGTTTTAGCCATAAATCATTGGCCCATCTGCATACTCAGAACTCAGCTTTGCCAACATGTTCCAGAATCTGATCTGAGATTCCTGAATCAAATATTCCCCTTTCCTAATTTATGCCACTGTAAGATTTCAACCTGAAATCCCCAGTGCCCCAGAGAAGGAAGGTTTCTTTCCAGCAGGCAGTAGTGGAGCTGACAGGGAATGCTGATACCACGCTCCCATTCTCTGCTATTTTTGAATAATGTCTGTCATGTCAGGCTGGAGAGATGGATATAACTATGGGATGGGCACAGAGGTATTTGATACAAGACACTCATCCAGATGAGAACACCATGGTACAGCAAATCTCTCCTCCCCTGTCTATTCCAGTTTCCTGAAGAACTCTGGAATTCTGTGCCCATATCTTTGTTGTCTGCACTTAAGACATCTCCAAGACATAGTCAAGGACCAGAAGAAGGCAATGGTTAACAACTATGATCCTTTGGATCAATGGGAAAAGCAAAAAGGGTCTCATCAAAAAGGTGAATTCCTTTAGGAGCTGCAGACTACTTGAAATCCCATTCCCTTTCACTAAAGGTATATGTTTCAATTCTTTTGCATTTGTTATGTGAAATAAAAGTGCAGTTACTGCTGTAAAAAACAATAAAAATGTTTCTATAAATATATTACCAACCAAATAAGGGTCGAGAATCTCCATTCTTTACTGGAAGCAGAGGAGAACATAATGACAAAGAATGAGGAAATGGCAGAGGTACTTGCAAGGAGGTTGTAGCAAGGTGGGGATGAGACTCTTCTCCCAGTAACAAGTGATAGGACAAGAGGAAATGGCTTCAAATTGCAGCAGTGGAGGTTTAGACTGAATGTTAGGAAAAATGATTCACTGAAAGGGTTGTCAAGCAGTGGAAGAGGCTGCCCAGGGCAGCGTTGGAGTCTATGTCCCTGGAGATATTTAGAAGATGTGTAGATGTGGCTTTGAGGGACATGGTTTAGTGGTGGGCTTGGCAGTGCTGGGTTAATGGTTGGACTTAATGATCTGAAAGGTCTTTTCCAACCTTAATGATGCTGTGATTCTAAAATATGTAAGAGGATACACACTTCACAAAAGTCAAACTGCCTTAAAATCCTAAGAAAATAATATCCTGCACTTCAAACACTCTTCCCCAGAGGAAAAGTTATAAAAACAATAGTTGAAAGATGTATGATGATTTTGCCTAATGCACTACCAGAAGATGCTCCCATGCTCATCTGATGGGCGCAGGAAAAGAATGGAAAATAACATAGCTGGGTTCAGATCAGGTCAGGTGATCTTTCCAAAGATTGCTCCTGTCTCTTTTCTCCAGGAGCACATACCCAAGAGATTCTGTATGCAAATAGCTACTCAGAAGGGAGCATGATACAATAATAAAAACCAACAGACACATTTAGAATAGTATTAAAAATTAAAATCCCTCCATGAAATCTGGTAGCTGCTGGTTATGTTTGTGTCCCACTCACTGCAACACAATGCTTTCCTGAAACTTCAGGAAGATTTTAAGAGGTAAATAAGTGGATGCTCTCCATACACCACACACATTAAAAAAGGGTAATTAGGCCTATCATCATGGGCGTGTCTGCAGCACATCCATCACAGGCAAAATCACAGAACATCTGTGACAGGGCTCAACAAATAAATAATTAATATACATTAACAATGTGTAATGGAAAAGGAGTCTTATTAATTAATCCGGTCTCGTGTTTTGATGAGCCTACAAATGAGGTTGATAAAAGTAATAGAGTTGAGGTAATGGGCTTTTGAAGAGCACCAAATTTGAATTATTGAGTAATATACTTGGCTGGTTTAAAATAAACATAGTACAGTGTAGATTAATTGGAAACCAGCTGATAGCTTTCCAAATTAAACAGTAAATGGCAAATGTTCACCCAGCAAGTGAACTTTCAGCCCCTTATAGATGTTGGCCTACCAGTTGCTATTTAATGTTTTTATTGCTGACATAGAAAAAAAGGTTAAACTATTATTTAGTAAGTTTATGGAATTTTGCAAAGTGGCATGGAATACAAAAGACAATAAAGCAAAACAATCCAGAGAGGAATTCAGTAAACTGCACACAAGCCAACAGTATGAATTTCAGTGAAGTCCTGAATGTAAGGTTAAACAGTGGAGAACTTGCTTCTCAGGCATGAGAAAGGAGACCAGAGGCAAACTGGAAAAAGCCTAGAAAGTGATAGAATCTAAGTGGTGTAACATAGACATCTTCAGCAGCATCATGCATGTACTAGAGATGTAATATCAAGCAGAAGAAGTGAAGAAATTATGTAACAACCCAACCTGACATTGGTGCAACTGCTGCTGGTATTCAGAGCCTATTCTAGAGGCTGCAGGTACTGAGGAACTGAAAATAATTGAGGTAAAAAACACAAGAATTAATAAAGTATTGGGAAACCTCATTCTGGAGAAAGACATGAGAAGATTTCTCTTTAATTTTACAAAGAAAAGGCTAAGAGGTTTCTTAATCACAGACTATAAGTATTCAAAGAGAGAAACTGGAATTAGCTAGCAAAGTTTCTTCAACCTTAAAAGATCTCGTAGTGGCCAGTAGGTACAGTTAAATCTGGATATTTAGAACAGATATAAATCTGGTTTCTTTGACAATTCTGCAAGGGCTTTGGGATACTTACAGTCACTGGGAATCTTCAAACGAACTTTTTTTGTTTTACTCCAGTTCAAACAGCAATTAATTTAGGGAGGTCTTATGGCCTCTTGGCCTCAGTAATTTATCAGTTAAGTGACAGGGCTTCAAATGCTTCTGTGGGAGGTTATTTAACAACCTAATAAATGTCATCTTTGGGAAAAGTTTCACGGGATTCTGCATTTGTCTTTAATACACTACTAATGATACTGATTCCCTTGTTTTCTGTTCTCATCAAAGCACAATTAAAATAATGATCTTTCAGCAGATAATAACACCTTTTCTAATACTTGTGAAGAATAATCAGAGAATGAATCAAGCAATTAATTCTCAGTTCTTAGTCATCCCTCCCACTCAAGACCCAAACCAATGTTCACTTAAGCACAGGAACATGTGAGGAATGTCTCCTTCAGCCAAGCACTGGCGAAGAAGAGGGAAATTTGACATTTGTGACCCTAAGATTGCCACAGTTTGTGGTGTCTGTACCCAAACCAGAAGACTAAGCAGAGAAAATGGAGATTCTTGCAGGGGCTGAAATAAATGTGCTCCTGTGGTTAACACTCACTCCTCTCCATCTTCACTTGCTTTTTGGCTGTGGCTTGTCCCTTTGGCTGCTCATGCTTTAATTTCCTTCATAATCTCAATGCTGCTACTCAGTGTCTAAGCACTGTGGGTGTTTCCTTAAAGCCACAAAAAAAAAATCATAAAATCATAAAACGGGTTAGAAGAGACCCTAAAGATCCTCTCTTTCCAATACCCTGCCATGGGCAGGGACACCTTCCACTATCCCAGGTTGCTCCAAGCCCCATCCAACCTGGCCTTGGACACTTTGAGAGATGGGGCACCCACAGCCTCTCTGGAGAACCTGTTCCAGTTTCTCATCACTCTCACAATAAAGAATTGTTTTTCTCAAATCTGACCTAAAAAGCAGCACCTAAGGGGGCACCTGGAGTTGAACCAGGGACCTCTTGATCTGCAGTCAAATGCTCTACCACTGAGCTATACCCCCTGCCTGAGCAACCCTCCTCTGTAAATTAAACCCATTAGGACATTCCCTGCCCCAGGGAGTTCACAACATGGAATATGAACCAGCCTTGCAGAACTGGTCCAGCACAGACAACCTCACTGCATTTCTTCCTGAGCCTTGCAGATGACACACATGGAAGTGTAGGACTTTTGGGGTAGCACAGCAATGTCTTATGAATGAATAAAAACTGAACTTTACAGCTAGTGCTGGACAGTGCCAGACAACAAATTGCAAAAAGATGGAAAAATTGCTCTTCATTCCCTCTAACTCCCTCCCTGCACTTCTTTCCGGATATGGAACAGGGTTACCTGTCCAGCTGCTTTGCCCAGATGTGCACAGCAAGGCCAGCTGCATTGCCCATCCCTTTCTCAGCCAGCACCGTGCCCTTCTCCCCTCAGCAGGGCAGCTGAACACCCACAATCAGAGGCAACAATGACCTGGTGACTCCAGGGACTGAATCTCCATCTCAAAGCAAAGCTGATATTCCCCAAAGGACAGTCCTGAAGCTCAGCTTTCACTGAGTAATTCCCAGGCCTCTGGAAACAGGCTGGAGAGCAGAGAATTTAAAAAGGAAAGAGAGATCCTACAGGTCCCTATTGCTTCACCAGCCCTCTGTATGAAATATTTAATAGTATCAAGACTCTTACTAGAGTCACAATGTGTGTTCAAATAGCAGGACAGTGAAATAGCTTGTCCATGGGGTCAGCCAGGAGGCTCTGGTATGGAGAATCCAATGTAGGCAAAGTCAGACAAGCATTAGATAAATAAATAAATGGGAGAGGCTGAACCGTAATGGAAACTAAGAGAACCTGTTTGCTCTAAATGGTGAACCACTTAGACTGAGATTTCTGTAGAAAGCATCTACAGACAGGTACATTCATTGGGACTCTGGTTAAGGTCCCCAGACTGAACTTTTTGGCACCACTTGTTGTGATTTTGATTCATCCAAAATTTTCCAGATCAAAAGTTATTAGTACTAGTGCTTTGAAAGCATGATCTCTCCCAAGATGAGCACCATCCCACAATGAGCCAACCCTCTTTCCAAACCATTAATAAGGATCTTAAACAAAAACAGTCTAACATTGTTCCCTTCTGTTCCCCTGAGGTATCTTCCACCAAGTCTTGGCATTTATTCACCACTATGTGTTTCTGGTGCCTCCAGCCTGTTTTCAGTCTGCTTTATAATCTTCATATCCAGTCAATTTAAATTAAATTTTCATCTCAGTCTTCGTGAAACAATATATTAATTGCCTCAGTACATGAATAGACATCTTATTTACATAGATTAAATGACCATATTCTTTTAATCTACTCGGCCTGCAGTTGGATCAAACTAAGTGA